TTAATCTAAATTAAGTTAATCAAACTTGTGCTTACTAATATAAATTAAAAGAAATAATTTTTTAGCATGTCAAAATGCTTAAAAAATTTTTTTCTTTCAATTTTCAACTTAATTTTATTTTTTTCTAGTATGTATCTTCATTATTAGAGATATTATATATATATATATTTTAACAAGATATAAAGTTTATGATTTTGAAATAAAAAATAAAACATGTGAAAATTAAATATTTCATACCAAGGGTTTAATAAATAAATAAAAAAAAAAGATCATTTTAAAAAATTATATAAAAAGAATATCAGCTTTTTTTTTTTTGAAAAAAAAGTAATATATTATAGTAAAATAACTATATATTGTAGTTTACAAGATTGCTTATAGAAACAATTATGAATTCTGTTAGTGAAGGTGATGTAGTCTTAGATGAAATAGTCTCAGATAAAATAGTCTTAGATGAAAATACTGAAATAGTCTCTGAAGTGGTTTCTGCTACTAAGAAATGTAAGTTTGGCAGAGAACCATTATAGATTTTTCAGAAAGGACATTTTATCAAGAATAATTTGTCACATAAGAGTATAAGAAAATTTAATATTAAATATTTTATTTTTATAATTGTTTATTAAAATATTTATAATTACTAGTAGACTGTACTTAATGCACGTATTGTAAGACTAATTTTAGACATAATAATAGATTAGAAACAAGTTTCTTGATCTGGTATCTAAAGTATACCAAATATAATAAGCATATTGTAACATAGAAACTCTGTGTTAACTATGTCACTTGACTTAACATGCAGAGAGTAAAAAATGTGTATAAACAAAGATAAAACAAGAGACAAAATTATAAGATAAAACAGAGATAAATACCCAAGAAAGAAGATAAATACAAGACAAAAACAAGACAAAAAATGTAATAAAAAGAGCCTTTATAACATAGTAAATAAAGAATCAAGAGTATATACAACATAGTGGGTATATAGCCAAAGAGAAGTATCAGTTTATTAGATATAAAGATAAGAAAATAAAAGTCAAAACCTAACCTACTTTAGAGAAAAAAGCAGGGTTTATATAGCTTTAGAATTATTAAAAAAACACTATCATTACATTAGTAAAATATATCAAGATACTATACTAAAGCACTATACTAAGGTACAATACTAAGATACTATACTAAAATATTATACTAAAGTACTATACTAAAGTACTATAGTAAGGTACTATATTAAGATATTATAGTAAGGTACTATAGCAAGATACTATATATAGTAAGGTACTATAGTAAATATGTATCTAAATTCAAAATGGTTTACTAAAGAAACTAATAGTGTAGATTTGAACTATGTAATCTATACTAGACTATAAATAGTAATTTGTACTAACCTAATAAAAATATACTAATATAACACTATTCCCTCTTTTGAAAATTTTATTCCATAAAATTTAAAAAGTTAGTAAATAGTTTACAAATAAGAAATAATAAATAAATATTTTTTTTTTTTTTTTTGGTATTAAGGTGAGGTCTTGCTCATATCTTTATTGGTTAATTTATATAAGTAATTATATA